ATGTATTTTTTACTACAAAAAAATTGCTCAAAAGTTAAAAAGCACAACTGGCTGTTGACACCACTAATTATTAACTGTTAACTAAACTGTTGTTGCAAATAATAGCCAATAGAAAAATACGTAATCATGAATTTTCATGACTAGCTTTGTTTTCAAATAAAATTTTTTGAAATTTCCCTTTGTTGCAAGATATTTCGCATAAGAATGCGTACCCCTGCTAAACTGTTCCCGTACCCCTGGGGGTACACGTACCACACTTTGGGAAACACTGGCCTAGGGTGTTAAAAAATACTTGTTTCCGTTGGTAATATATTAACGGTCTCTCAAACCTTTGAAAGTTTTAAACTTTATTTATAAATCTGAGAAATTGCACGGCTTTAACACCTCTAAAATTACGAATTAATCCTCTACTTCTTGTAAAATTTAAAACAAAATGTCGGAAACTGAAAATGCCTCTTCCATTATTGTAGGATATAGTGTATTTCCAAAGAAATAAATCTAGTTAAGGAATCTGGTCTCGTTTTTCCTAATGAATCTTAATGATTTTTAATGTTCTTAATGATTTCGTTTATAAATGATTTTTGTTTCGTATTCTTTAGATGAAAACTAATAAAAGGAAATCCTTTTATTATAACCACTTTAAATTTTTTTTTAATTAGGGCCATACGAGCCTTGCATTCTCTAACATATAATCTGAAAAAACATTATAATCTACTTGATTGAAATATAATACAGACTCAGAATTTGATGAATATCAGTGTTTTGAAGAAGAATATAATACTAAAATATGAACTGGATAAGATGTGCATGCACTGGCTCTAAGGAACGTGTTTTGAAAGGCAGAAAATGTAGTTTCAAAAGTAATCTTTGCTTTAGATTTTGTTTATTAGACTCTTCTTACTTAGATTTTGCATGATAAAATTCATTCTTTACAACTTATCGTAAGTTCTTCACGATTAATCTGGACGAAATATGTTATTTTTTATATTTTATTTAATTTTTCATTTACTGTATTAGATCAAGGCTAAAGAGTGGATAAAGAAGGCCTAGGTTGTTACTTTGAAGAGTTTCTGATTTCAGTCAGCGACGTCACGGCAGAGCAGCATCAACTTCTCACTTTAAAAATTGTTTCGCATGTTGTAACTAGAATTTTTTTTTAAAACTTATTTTAATACATTCAATGATTGCCATATTTTTTTTATTTTGAGGAGAATTTCTTCTCCTCTGATTGCAAAAATTTAAGAGTATTAGGCAAAGGTTTGCCTCGATAGCGACCGGCAAGAATTATTATAAAACACAAAGTGAGAGAACGCAATTTTCCATGTTTAATTAAAAAAAAAAATATATAAAGGTGACACCAAATGAATTATAATATGTAAGAGAAGAATTTATCCTGCTGTGAATAAAAAGCATTATATTTCTTGTTTAAACGTTTAAGAACTTTTAATTTCGATATTAAAATCGATACCGACTTGTAACTTTAAGCAGAAAAGAAGAAAAAAAAATGTACAAGGTCAAAGAAAATAAAATCTTGAAGTTCAAAAGTAAAAGTTATTTATGCTTAAAAATTCTTCTAATTTTATAATATATTTTTTAGTGTCAAAATATTTATGCGTTTTAATTATAACGCCTTAATTTTAAATATTCAGGAGCAAGTGTAATATTTCCATTATCCCAAAGATTATTTTTTTAGTCATTAAGATTTTTGTTTCCTAGGGATAATATATAAAAAAAAGTTACTATTATTATTAGAAAATACATTATTACTAGAAAATACATTAAAATTAGACATCCCAACTAAAAACTATAAGGATACTTATATAGTTACATATTCTTATCGTACGCTATAAAACTGTTCTTTCTTTCTTTTAACAGTAAAAGTCAATAACTAAAATTAGAATTGTGATATTTTTCTAACTTCAAAATGTTATTTTTTAATACTGTTAGGAATGCTAAGAAAATGTATGAATACTCTATTTTTGAGCAGATATAATTTGTTAGCAGTGTAAAGTTTGACAGCTATTATCAGAAAAGTGTCGACCATTCAACTCATTTCTTACAAAATGTATGAACAGTAAAGTTTTCATAACCTTTACTTGTGATATTTGAAATCTGTGTGCGGCCTGACGTCATGAGTCGGAGATTCGTAACTTCAGCTCTGAGTAAGGAATGAACCAGCTCTTCTCTATTTTCTCTTTAGCCATGGTATTCGAAGGCCAACTAATGTAAGTTACTATTTTTTTCATATTTTGTTCTCTATTTTCATTATTTTTTGCTCAAAATATGTTGAAAATATGTATTTGAGCCATGGGGGGGGCTTAGGTAATAGAGAGCTCGCCTCCCAATGAAGTGAACCAGGTTCGAATCCCAGCGATGGCTGATTGATGCGAATTCCGCACCCGGCTCGCACCGACTGCAGTGCAGACGTAAAATATCCTTTGTGGTCGACGGGTCATGAGTTAGAGTCCCCTTGCCACGAGACAAACCCTGGGAGGATTTCGTTGTTTTCCTCTCCATGTAACGCAAATGCGGGTTAGTTCCCTCATTAAGTCCTCAAGGAAGGCAAATTTCTCCCAAAACGTGATGCAGAAATTTCTTTGTCTTCTGAGTTAGGTTCAAAATTATTGTACTAATATAAACTCAAAATTTGGTCAGTTGTGTAAAAAATAAATACATGTACGATTAAAAAATTAATACATGTATGAGAATTTAAAATATGAATAATTTCTTACATCCTTATTTTATTACTTTGACTTGATAAAAATATGGCCATTTTTCCTAGACTTACCCAATAATTTTAACTATTAAAAAATGAAAATGCATTTTTGCTCTTTGAAGTGAAGTAGTGATATTGGTTTTTCCTGAAGTTATAACTCATCTTAGTATGAATGACTAGAGAGCAAAAATTTCGAGTGAGTAATTATAATGTTCTTAGGTTCCTTTCAGAAAGAACGTTGTAACTCAATTACTTCAAGGGACATTCTTTTTAAGATATTTCGAATTTTTTTAAGATATGTCATAGAAAGTCATCAGATTCTTCTTCAGTTGTTAAAACCTACTGATATTCATGAATGCAGTTTGAACAATGCCCTAAGATTAAAAGTGGTTAACTGCCTAAAAGTTATTCTGATGGACGACCCATAACTTAATCATTAATAGGACTAAGATGCTGATGACCTTTAAAAAATGCAAAAAATACATCTGAAAAACATCAAATATTACTTAAAAATGAAAAAAATGAAAAGAAATAAAAAGTATGCCATTAAAAATTGTCAAAAATTGATTTATTACTAACTTTAAACTTAACTTTTTATTAACTTAATAGGATTTTGTATTTATAAATATGATACAAGAATACGTTAATAATAAAAATAAATTTATAAATAAAGCAAAATGTAAATAAATACTTAATAAAAATGTATAAGAATTTTATTTTAAAGTATTTCAGAATGTGATAAAAGAATGTCCGAAAGCAACGCCTCGAAAAACTCTCTTAAACATATAAACTTATTATTAGAGAATAAGATTCAATGCTAAATTTACAATAAATTATAAAGAGAAACCTAATTCGCAAGAAAAGCTCTTTTAAATGGAAAATTATCATTCAAAATTCATAAAAGTTATCATAAAAGGGAAAAAAAAATCTAAAATACAAAAAAACCACGCCCTATAAAAGAATAAATGCATTTATCATAGAGCCCTGATCAGAATATGTTTCAGATATGGATATTTGGTTCATTGATGTTCTTAACAAAATCTTTACAAATTCAAGAAATTTAACACAACATACAGAAAGAAGTTACAATAATGCTAATATTACATTAAATTATAAAGAAAATGCCTAATTCACACGAAAAGCTCTTTTAAGTGGAAAATTATCATTCAAAATTCATAAAAATTATCACAAAAGAGAAAAAAATCTAAAAAAAGAAAATAAATAAATAAAATTTAAAAAAAACACGTCCTGTAAAAGATTAGATGCATTTATCATCGAGCCCTGATCAGAATATGGATATTTGATTCGATAATGATCTTAACAAAATCTTCACAAGTTCAAGTATCTTAAGACAATATACAGAAAGGAAGTATTAGTTTTATAAGAAATTACATTTTTTAGAGCAGGCTAATATAATCTGAATTGTAATTTTAACTAACCTTTTTAAAATCATAAAATTCTAGAATATAATTTTTGATATTTCGGTACAGGGAACTTTTGAACACTTTCATTATTTTTGTCGTGAAGTATTAACTTCATAAATATTTCATACATCATAACATCATTTCATATATAAAACATCATAGACAGATTATAAAACTATGATTATTTGATTGAGAAACAAATAGCGTTAGATTTGATGCAGAACAGNTAATTTTAACTAACCTTTTTAAAATCATAAAATTCTAGAATATAATTTTTGATATTTCGGTACAGGGAACTTTTGAACACTTTCATTATTTTTGTCGTGAAGTATTAACTTCATAAATATTTAATCAATAGACAGATTATAAAACTATGATTATTTAATTGAGAAACAAATAGTGTTAGATTTGATGCAGAAAAGTGTCATAAAAAGTTCAGAAAATATCAATAACGGTATATTTGGGTGAGGCTATAATTTCGTGAGGCCAATATATTAGGAATAATTTATTTTTGTAATTTTCCGACTTAAATTTGTACTATAATTAAACACTCAAAAATTGTGACACTACATGTATTATTAGTTTCTACTGTCGAGACTTCGTAATTCATGATAATAGGTGTGGAAATAAATAAATTACGTTTTACACTCCAATTAAAAACCACTCAATCATTCTCAGAACAGAATTGACTTTTTCTTTGAATGTACTGAGGATCTTCATCTTGAAGAAGAAACATCTTTGGAAGGGATGACTTCACAAAATTCCCTGCCAAGATGCCTTTCTTCACGTGCGTGCAATGATCATCTTTTACAATGAGGCGCCGGCAGGAAACTTCAATTCTGATTGGTTAAGAATAAACGAAACTGCCGCCATCTACAGGTGATGCGAGAATTGTTGTGAAAATAGTCTGTCAAACAAGATCGAGGATGATTTTGAAGAGCCCATTTTTGCTCTTCATTGCTATAATATTTTTCAATTGTGCATATTCGAAGGAATGCAGGGAGTAAGTAGAACAATGCATTCTATTTAGATTATTTCGTTTGTTTATAATCAAAACAGTTCTGTTAATTCAATGAATAATTTGATGATTTGCATGAAATGTGAAATCGCAATTTGTAAAATCATTGAAGAATTTTTTTCTGCATTTTTAATTTCAATAATCAATGAACTTTTTAGCTATAAATATCCCTTAAATACTAATATTTGCTTTAAAGTGATATGTTTTGGTGTCTATTAAATCAGGTTCTTTATTTTATAGCATATTCTCGTGGTTTAATTTTGTAAGTAAAGAAAGAACTATTTTTTCCTGCAAAAACTTACGTTTTCATTGCATTAATAAACATAATTTTTATTCAATATTAACGAGATCGAATATTAGTATTGTGATCTAATAAAATGAAGATGTTTAATTGCTTCAAAATATTATCTAGCTGTGGTTTAAAGAATCCTTTATATTCAATTTTTTTATACCTCATTTTTTGTATCTTATAATATTTATATTTCGTATTCGATTTATTTTAGCTGATTTACTTAGCGATGTATTATATGAATTTAAATTTTTTAATTAAATTCAAACAATACATGCTAAGTAAAATTTAAGCATTGTTGTTGCATAAAATATCTTAATTGATTCTATAAAAGACATTTTGAACATCGTTTACTACAATTTAAACATATCATTTCTGTTTCAGCAAACGATAATATATATAATTTTAATACATAGGTTAATTTTGAAACTATTTTCCTCTAAAATTTGTCCTGAAAAATCGATTTAACGTATTTTGCATAAAAAAAAAATCTAGATCGTATTCATTTTTATTGAAGTGAGAATATTTATTAAACATGCAGCACATTTTTTTAGATTATAAACTCAGTAGCTTTCTTACTATATTCAATTAATTTTAAATATCTCGAGAAATTTATGAAGTTTCTTCAGGAAAAAAACTATTGGATTTCTTTTGTGTAGTATTCAATACCCATTTAAGATTATCTGTTATAAAAATTAATGAAAATAATTATATAAAATTTCACTAAAGTGTCAGTTTTATGCAAAATATCCTGTTATAAAATTAGCTGTTAAGAAAACCTAGAGTTAAATAAGTATGAGGGCCAGAGATTTGTAACCTATTCCTTTTTTGTTTATTTCTTCTCCTCGCCTTTGCGTCAGTCATAGTTTATAACCCGTGGTATACATATTTCGATGTTTTCTTTCCCGATAGATTCCTAAATGTGCAACCTTTTGCATAATTTTCCTGATCCATACACACTTAAAGATAATGGTCTAAGTAAGTGCCGGGAAAGCATGAGGGATAACTAGAGATTATGTACCATTTGATTTTGTTACCTAGTGTAGAGGTTCCCAATTTTAATTCACCTAACGAAACACTAAACGATCGAGCTTCTTTTGGCAGAATCGCGATTTAAAAAAAAATGCTTATTAGCAGGTTTGAATATGCTAAAAAAGATGAAAAGAAAAATTCGAATTATTTTGAAAACATTTAATAGAGTCATAGGAGCTCAGAGAGCGTTCGTCTCCCAATGAGGTAAACCGGGTTCGAATCCCGGCAAAGGCTGGTTGATTCAAATTCAGCACCCAGCTCGTATCGATCACAGTGCTGGCGTAAAACATCCTCAGTTGTACACGGATCATGGGTTAAAGTCCCCTTGCCGTCAGGATAACTGTAGGAGATTTTCGTAGTTTTCCTCACCATGTAACGCAAACGCGGGTTAGTTCCACCAAGAAGTCCGCCACGAAGGCACATTTCTCCCAATGATTGATCCAAGAGTTCCCTTGTCTTCTGTCTTGAACATTGATAGTCGTAAGCTGAAAATTCAGTCTGCTGTTCAACGACGGTTATAAAAATAAATTATTGTGAGTAGCACTTTATTTACGTCACGCTAAAGCTTCCTAATGGGCTACAGTCTTTAAAGCATCCCTCAAGATGATCCAAAAACATGTCATCACAATTTTCATCATCTGCGTAGAAGATGGCTCCCCAACTTTGGGTAGTCGAGTACTTTATGGTAGAATAGTTTAATGCGCATCCTCTGTCACTTCGCAGGGTGATTAAAGTGGTCACCTACCCCGCTCATTGATCGCAGCCAGTGTTGCTTGACTTCGGTGATCTACTTTTTTTTAAACGGCAGGCACTGAACATATCGTTCTTCGCTATGAAAGTTGCTGGAAGTGTTGCTCATTTTGCGTTGCCTAGTGAGCAGCTTGTGACCAAAGTCACGGAGATGAGTAATTATTACCCACGCTACACTGCCACACATACCAGTTCGGCCACATTCACACATCAAACACTACAGAGGACAACACTCAGAGAGAAACAGACATGCCTTGAGCTGGATTCGAACAAGCAACCCTTAGCTTCGAAGTCAGGCACGCTAACCGCTCGGGTATTTGGCCGAATCTTCGGTGATTTACTGGGAACACTTAATGTGAAGAATAAAATTTATTCAATGTTTCATTAATAACGGGAAATTAGGTTTTATAATCGTAATGGAATTCATATGTCTGCGGCGGCTTTTTATCGAGTCATTTTTGGCGTATTTATCAAACGCAGCGTAGTTGACGTTTTAGTCAAACTGAATTGATAGTTTTGAAAAAAAAAATTTTTTTTTTAAACTGTTGATTGGTTATCAGTGAAAAATAATTCCTTATTCTTGAATTTGGTTATTTCATTATGAATTGTAAAGTTTGATGCGAAAGAATTATGCTTAATGCATGAAAAGGAAGAGATATACGTATGGAAAAAAAAACTAAATCTTACTCTTTCTTTTTTCATATTGAATAATTTCATAAAAATAACCTAAACATTAAATAAATAATAGATTATTGGTTGGGTGCAAACCTATTACAGGTTTAAAAAAAGCATTGCTGGTTTAAAAAAAAAGTCCGAACTTACTGAATCACTGTGACTTCTTACGGAAACCTAGAGTTCTGCGGAACATCTACTGGGAATCGCTAACCTAGAGTATGTAATATCGAATGATTTTATATTGCAATTTGCGTAGTTTATTCGCAATTAAACTCTAATTTTAAACGAAATACTATCATTTTGATACAAGTTTTACATGATCCTTAATGCTTAAGTTATTACTTGAAAATGTTAATATTCAGAAGTGAGAGAAATAATGAAACTTTTTTTTTCTGAAATGGTACCTCTCTGGAATGTTTTTTTTTTTCGAGAAAAGTAATTTCAATAACTTAAGTATTGGGAAATTTTAACGTAACTTTTCTAATCCAATTTCTTATTCAAGTTTTATTTTACTGTTCAAGTTTTTACCGTTTCAAGTTTTATTTTATAACTATTAAAAGGAATTTCTGGGCTTATTAGTCGAAAAAAATGGTTTTTTTAGAAAAAGGAGATTTTCGTACATTTCTAAAATTTTTTTAATGTATCATTAATGATTAAAAAGAATATTCACAAAGAAAAATTTGATGCGTTGATTTGAAATTTTTTTGTATAATTAGCAATGCTTTTGGATTTCAATGTTTTTTTAAATGACCAATTTAATTTTTAGAGAATACGAGCCTGTTTCCAACTAACTGCTTTTTAAGTTTGTAAGGCAAGCACAGGAAAGAATCGATTTATATTCAATGCTTCTTTTTACTTAAAATGTTACTAGTTTTTTTTTCACAATGTTTTTTTAAAAATATTTTTGAAGTAACCTTTCGTATAAATGCAATATGTGGTCATAAAAGACAGTAAAATCATTCAAGTATATATATTTTAATGAAATGAAAGAGATGGTACTCGTATAATTTAATTTAATGTAGAGGAAAGTATTCCCCAGATGAATCTAGAAGACGTTTCGTTAATTACACTGTCTCAAATACGGTACTTTTTCACACATTCTTTATTAATAAAAATTAACTTGAACAATTTAGAAAGTTGGAAACACAAATCAAGCAAAAAAAGAAGAATTTATAAAGATATGTATGGTAGCAAAAACAGCACTTCATCAGGGGACACAGTGTCTGCTACTAAATTAACTATAACACACCAACATTTAGCATTTGAAACAACATTTCAATTTGAACACTTGAATAGTTAGTTATAATTTTTTATTTTTTAATTTAATTGCGGATAAAAAAATTTTGAATTATAAGGCATAAATTTTTTATACCATATTAACATTAATTATTTTTTATACCTACATATTTCTCTTTTGAGAAATCTGAAATTTCAAGTGTTTTTATTTGGTAGAAGCCGAGAAAAATTAATGTTATTTTTAAAAAAATAATTTAGTGACAATGAAGAAATATGTAAATGAGTTGATTAATAATTAACTTACAAGGAATTTGGCTTACGCCTGCGTAGCAAAAAATTTCATGTTAGTTTTTCGCTAATAGCCAATTGCTAATCTTTTTTTTAAAAAACTATAAATACATTGTTTCTTTTTAAGTCGTCTGAAAATTTATTAGTAATTTAGTAAAAAGATTTGAGTAAAACATTATATTCAACGAATGTCGTATTTTATAAAAGCATGTTTCTGATAAAATATAATTTACATCAGCCTTTTTTCTTTAAATTAATTTTTTAGTTCAATAATATTTCAATAATTGTACAATTTCAATAATATACATACATATGCCTAGATTTGGAATAATATATTTCTAAATTTTTTCAATATATATTTTATAATTATCTAGCAATTACAGCTTAAATTAATGTATACGTTTTATAAAAGGTATCGTTATATTTTCTTGGATAAAATTGTAATATGAACGATGATCATCTGAAATCGTATTTTGATATTTCATGACACTAGAAAGAGAATAAATGATGAATACGTAGCAGACATTTTCAAACATCTTAAAATTTCGCCACAACTAATATATTGTCTTAAACGCCTGAAACTTAAAATAAATTTTTTAATTACCTGGCCATGCGTGTTTCATAGTTCAATTTTAACATCTATTTAATTACATTTTTCAAAATAAAAGTTTTTACACTACCACGTAAATAATTTTCAATAATATACTAATAATGT